CTAGTGTAATTATGATATCTTCCAAAAGTCTAGATAGACGTATGGACTACATAATGATCTTGCGAGTATTCTATAAAAATATTAAAATAATAATAATTACATTCTCCATAATTCTATGATTGGAACCGTCCGTGTAAATTCGGACTTCGTTAATGCTGGATTGATCTCGGTCATTTCCATGTATCTGGATGTAGTATCTTCTTGTGAAGATATGGTGTTTTGGGATTCTATCGCATGGAGCTGCTATCAGTGGTTCGTATTCCACCAATTGATCCCATAATTTGGCGTGCGATCCCTCACTTTTGTGCCATAGACCCAGGTGTTTGAGTCTAATGATCGCCATGGCGGCCTCCTGCTGTTTGAATAGATCCAGGGGTGGCAGACCAAGAGCCACCTCCAGTGCGGCAGTAGGCGTTGTGCGCATACAGCCAGTGACCACGGAGCATGGGTGGCTGCAGTTTGTTTATGACAGTGCTTAGCTCTGTTCTCTGCCACCAGACAACAGCACCGTAAGTGATTATTGGTCTTATGACTGTCCTGTATAGCCATAAAGTAATTTTGGGTGATAGTCCCCAGCTTTTGCCGAGTAGCCGCTTGAATTGGCAGAAAATAATGCAGGCTTTATTCAGTTTTTCATCGAGGTGCTTATTCCACAGGAGTTTACTGTCCAGTATTACTCCTAGGTATTTGACCTCTTTGGTAAGAGTAAGTTGTGTTCCAAATAGCTTGGGAAGTCTGAGATTTCCTAGGCTGCGTTTGTTTGTGAACATGATCATCTCTGTTTTGGATGGGTTCACTGTCAGGTTGTGTGCTACGCACCATTGTTCCACGATCTTCAGTGCAAGTCTCATGTGATCGCATGTAATGCTCTTAAAAGGACCGCTGATGAGAATAGTAAAATCGTCTGCATAGCCTATTGTGAGGAATCTTTGGTCATTAAGTTGTGCGATGAGCTCATCCACAACAATGTTCCATAGAAGGGGGGAGAGTACACCGCCCTGGGGGCAACCTCTAGCCACCACTCCTCTAGTCACTTCGCTCACAGTGAATTGAATAGCTCTATATCTTAGCATGCTGTCGATCCACCCTGAGATTGTGGAATCAACACCATGCCTAGACAGAGCTCATTTTTCCATCACATCTGATATGCGACATCCAGGGAAGTGTGTTTTTAATAACAGCTCTGAGGCTTGCGAGTCTGTTTTGGTATACTCACCATCAGGCTTCTTCAGGCAGCCAAGATTGTGTTCGCCTCTACTACACAGTATGTTTTTGACTCTATTAGCCTGGTTGTTGTTCTCTATGTTAGTACAGAAGTTTCTCCAGCACTCAGTTTTCCTGGTTCTGATTCTCTTCTTATATTGTTGTCGGGCCTGCGTGTAGGCATCCCAATGTTGGTCTAATCGCGAGTTTTTTGCTTTATTGAACAACTTTCTCACTTTACGACGTAGTCTTTCCAGTTCCGGACCCCACCATTGGTGTTTGTTCTGTGGTCCAGTTCTGGGTGTGGAAAGTGGGCATGTTTGTTCAAAGCAATCGATCAGTGTCTGTGTTAGGGTGACAACATGTCTGACTGTCAATGTCCTTAACAGTCCCAGTAGCGTTTGTTGGGTTGATGCTTCGCAGTTTCTCCGCAGTAAGATGTTCATACCGTTTCCGGTCCATCGTGCGGGGATTCCGGCGGGGATCGGGTAGTTTAAGTTTCATTTCAAAGTTAAATTTGATCCAGCGATGGTCTGAGCACGATGCTTCGTTCGAAACATGCCAGTTCGATATGTGTTGCGATGCGTGCTCACTTGCTAATGTAAGATCAATTATAGTTTGGGCCCTGGACGTGACAAATGTCGGCTCCGAGCCCACGTTGATAATGTTAAGGTTAGTTGATAATAATTCCTTGTATGACGCGGCAAATCTTTAAAAAACCTGAAGAGAAAATATGTAGTGGGCCCTTAAACATATCACGTGACCAACCCGGTCTGAGCAGTACTGCTTCTGAAAGATTTATAATTGAAGGAGACCGAGACCAACCCGGTCCGAGCAGTACTGCTTCTGAAAGATTTATAATTGAAAGAGACCGAGATCTCGTTAGTTCAAATAATTTTGCAGCTGGACCCCATAGCCCTTTATTACAAGAAAATATTATACCAATTACGGAATATTGATAAGAAAGACGCGATTGAATATGATTTTTATTATGGTTTTTTATTGATTGATATTTGATATGATTGATTGATTGAATATTTGAAATAAGTATAATATTATTTTTTGGTATTGATTTTTTATTGATTCGTGTTCAGTATCAGTGGTATAGTCACCTCCTACTAACTTACTATTTACGTATTATTCGTGTACACAAAACATTTCGTAATATTGTATAACGCAGTCATACTTTGAATACAGTTGTTTCATCTGATTATTATACGTATACTACAGAAGATACGCGTCGAGCGAGCGCGTAGGTACACGCGCGATCGTTTTCGATGTGAGGGGAGCGGGCAGGGGAGCGCGGGTGAATTCTTAAATTTTGCTGGCTTTATACGCGCTCTTAATTGCGGTTCGTTAGTTTTTATGATTGTTACACTTACAAGAAATGTTGTGCCAATAAAACAGTGTAAAACAAAAAGCTTCATGTAGTGACCGAAACATTTCTTATGGATTACCGCTTCAATAGTACTTAATGAATTCACCAGCTATTTCGGTGTCCGACAAGTCTTAATAATACACAATATATATAACACTAGTTTTTGCCCGCGGCGCGTGTATGTCGGTTATTGCAGTAGCCTATGTCCTTTATTAAGAATGAACCTGTCTCCATACCAAATTTCATCTGAATCGGTTCAGCGGCTATTGATTCCCCAAACAAACCTCCACCCTACTTTTCACCCCTTCAAAGAATGATTGCCGGGATAAAAACTATCCTATGTCCTTTCTCGAGACTCAAATTGTCTCTATACTAAATTTCATCTAAATCGGTTCAGCAGTTTAAGTGTTAAGAGGTATCAGACAGACAGACACACTTTCGCGTTTACCACTAGGACATTTTTATATGCCGTTGGAGACTGACAATAGGGTAGATGACATTCAAATCAAATCAGTGTCTTTTTCTAAACGTCAAAACGTGACGCCACCATTATTGTTGTGTAATTATTAACTTTTAATGATGATTTTGATTTTAAATTATAAAAGAAGTATTTTAAATACGGTAAAGTAAAACTGGAAGACGACCTTCACACTATTTAAAGTTATTAGGTATATTGACAACCTGTCGAAATACTTAGTCTTTAAGACATAAGCACCTAATTGTCTCAAAACATAAAAAAATAAAATACCTATGGTGTTTCTACCTACTACTAGCTCGTGATGGTGCATAAAGAATTAAAATGAAAAAAATACATTTCAAGAACCAATAAAGGACGAATCCCCAAAACTTCGCTGGTTACCTTATCTTGGTAACCAGCGAAGTTTTGGGGATTCGTCCTTTTCGATTCGATACTTATACACACGTTAGGTATGTGTGTATAAGATAAGGTAACCAGCGAAGTCAGAATAACTATGAAATAAGCGTATTCCAAGGTTATCGAAATAATTCTGATGTATTTTTATGTCTGTCTGATGTTTCTTCTATCGCAAAGCTTTTTCCTCTACTGTATTTTATTTTTAGAGCACTGGACATTACGTGGCCTACAACAGAAAGATCGCTTATGAGCCCTTACTCGTTTGAAAAAAATAAAATTATAATATTTATGTGATATTTTATAGTTAATACTTTTAGTAATCATGTTAGTTAAAAATAGCTTATGTTTCTATTGTAGTGAGTTTTCTAGTCACAGGATACACGGGAACACGGTTATTAGTGATTAAAAAAGCAAAATTAGCATAAATTATAATGTAAAAATCTAACAAACACGCTTTTGTAACTAGCCGAACTAAGAAAGAAAAATCATTTTATCGTAAACAAGCGTGGGGTACTTTTCAAGTTTTTTAAAATATAATAACTTTACTTTTACCAATATCTGTCAATAAATTATTTTTAAATTAATTGAGATCTAGCACGTCATTTTTGTTTGTGTTTCCCGAATTATTTTGGAGCATGCGAAGTTTCTTCAGAGTTTAGCTTAGTTTCACCACCACCGGTTTTCAGGGATTGCCTTTATTGTAGTTCTTAATGAATTATCATTAAGAACTTCAATAGAGGCAATTTATTAACAAAGATACTTCGTTGTTAATTCTTGATAAACTAACATTGTAATCGTCGTGCATCAAATATCGATGTTGGCCTAGTTTTGTTAAAATATAAGCTATATTTTAACAGCTAGGCCGTCGCTTATTGTCAGTAAATACGAATGGTAGCTCAATAAATTAATAACCTACAGGGACGTCTAATCCAATACATTAATTAACCTACAAATGTAGCCTAAACTTTAATTTACTAATGAATAGTGATGTTTCACGGTTCGAGGACGATCGATGGGAAAATTAGTAGTTATCATGATAGGTATTCATTTTATATAAATTGTATAAAAAAAATATAGGAATAAGTAAATATATACATTACATTTACAAGTCAGAAAAGGTTCGGTAAGCTTAATATAAAGTAATGAAAGGGATTTGACACTATTACATATTTAATACGTACGGATATTTAACTACGGTTTATTAGCTTCCCTTTACTAAGTTACCTACAATTATGTAAATAAATCTTGGAAATCAATTTATACGCCTAATAAAGTATAAAAATAAAATTTGTACATATATTTACCTATTAATACCATAGTAGGCCAAAACCTCCTTTCTAAGGAGAAGCTATTAAAGGCTGTTGATGTGATGATTTACCTAGGAGCACGCTATAATTTCACATCTTGGATGAGATCGGATGATGAAGTCAACCAGCTTTTTATTTTGGTTGGATTTTCTTTGTCTTTTCAGATTATGTCTCCATATGCAATCAATGATTTCATGGGGCAATGTAAATAATTTTATAATTGTAACATTTGTTACAGGTTCGATATGGACATGAAGTGATTTCAACATGACAATCCTTCTATACGACTTTCGTGAGTTAGAGGAGAGGCCGCCCAGACATCTTAACACTTGGAAAGGTATTTATTTAATCTTATATCACTCTTGTTTCTTCTTCTCTTCTTGCTACGCGTCTAATGTATCATGCAGGAGTTTCCAATTATTTAAAAAAAGAAACAAGTATCACCCAAAATTTAAAAACTTAAGGAACACTTCTAGTAATGCTAAGCAACCTTTAAACAGTGTGATTTTTATTTTTATAACTTATCAGTCATTGACTCAGGAATGGAATGTTGTCTTTATTGGGGCCCTGGTAAACCGTTTTTTTAAACTGTTGCACTGGCCGCCTAAACGCTATTTTGTTCCGGGGTACCGAACTCTGGTCTGAAGATTATTTTATTTCCTCCCCAGCAAAGTTACACTAGTGGACATTTGTATCATTCAGTGAAGGAACTTGGCTTTATCATCATTTTTATGTAATAATTGTATTACATAACAAAAAAATATTTCATAGTACACTATTTTAAGTCTGACTATGAGTATAACACATATATGGAAATAATAATATATTATATACATCACCCCTGATTCTGGGGGGAGGACTCAAAGACTCGAAGGGCGGCATCGCAGTCATGACTCTTCAGTTGCAGCTGTCCATGGGTGGCGGTATACACTTACCGGTCTGCTACACGTAGGCACACTAGCTTTGATGAATTTATTAACAGACATTTTATCTTGATTCTCTACACTTACTCTATGGTCATATCGTTGTTCCATAAAAACATTTTCTGACATAAGTTGAGTGAATGTCTTTTGAAAGTAGGTACTTAAAATAATATATATCTTCATTCATAAATATTAGTTAAAGTATGAAATTGCCGATTTGTACTGAAAAATTGAAATTGTTTTTTTTTTTCTAAGATGTAACATATTCATTTGATCATTACCTATACATTGCTGCCATCTAAACGGAAGTTGAGTTATGCCTTTATGATAGAACCACGGTACAATTATAATACAGTAGTGTAACTCGGCCGCATGATAGAAATAAATGCCTGCAGCCGCGCGGTACGTAAACATGCGTTAGGGCTGCCCGTCTCCAGCATTTTAATTATATTTGCCTACTTTCTGTTTCTATTTACATTTGTGATTGTAAATATCCTTTTTATATAAATGAATGAAATACTTTGTATATTGAATAAGAAGTGTTCAATAAAAATGCGTGTTGTATTTTGATTGGTAGATTTAATTATTTTATTTTCTTTCTGCATTGGAGGAGTTCAAGTTTCAATTTTCTTTTTCTTGGAGTGTTGCTAGAGAGACTCGTTGAGGTTTAAGCAAAGATTTTATTTGTTGCATTTTCAGTTTGTGTACTATTTTCATTTCCTACCAACGGAGCAGTTTGGGTTTGTTTATCTTCTTTTAGAGAGACTCCTGGATCAGTACTAGCTAAGCTTGGCAGCATCAACAATGGTATTCTTTTTTAAAAGTTTTCTATTTGATGAATGTAATACATCCTCCAAATTAAAATGTTTTTCACAAACTTGCTAGGAACTGAAGTTAGATTTGTTTTCCAAATCATCTCGCCGGATCAGTTGGAACCATTGAAGACGTCTGAAAAAAAAATACATGTGGCATTCTCGGAGACTGCCGCGGTAAAGCTATTGCATAACATTTTTTTTTTAAGAAAAAAATCTGGGTGGTGTCAGGTATTTTTCGTTAGCTTTTGAGAATTTCTTGATTCGGTCACCGCGCCGCGCCGCGGTCAGAGCCCGCGATAAAAGCTATGCAATAGCTTAAAAATCCTTCTATAGAATAAAAAAAATGTGCTTTCTCCTTACGCGTTACAAAACTCCAATCCTTAGAAACTCCAACACCTACCTACTCAACTAGAATGCAAGAAACAGCTGACGTGTAAGTAACTTTTTATCTCAGCTTATTAACGTCTCTATAAATTAGGTACCTACCTAAAACTCGCAACAACTCAAAACAAAAATTCTTTGGTCAGCAATTAATTAATTATTAAAAAGCTAAACAGCTGACTACGAATGATTTAAAATCACAACCCTCAAACATCTAAATATTATATATGAGTCTAGCTGTTGTTGTTAATACCGAGAAAATAAAACCAGTTTTTAGTGGTATATGTTGTAATAGTAGCAGCAGAAACACTTTGTGAAAATTTCGAAACTATCTAATGACACACAGACGGTAAAAAAAAATTTCTAGTATTATTCATTCACACAGATAATAAACAAATATTATTAATAATAAAATACCACGTCTTTACTTTGAATTTTGCAAAGTAACAAAACACACATGCACCGAAGTTTTAACACAAGCGTAAGTAGGTAGGGATCTACCGTATCATTATTCATTCAGAACCGCATATAACTACCTATTTCACTCGTCTCAGTAACTTTCCGTTACTCTATTCGCTTTATTTATTAATCCAAACACCTTTTTTTGCGTGAGATAAAAGGAAATACTTATCCATTAAAAAGTCACACATTATGTACCTACCTACTAGTAAGTAAAATTATTTTACAGTATTACCTTTCAGAGTTTCCAGGTAATTTAAAAAAAACTTATGTCTGGTTGCGTTATTGACGAATTCATACAACCAAAAACAGCACAATATTTCCTACTCGTCATATTAACTGATTTTTAGAGAAAAAATCGCGCAGTTATTGTTAAAAAAACAACACCGTCGACACTGCGGTACAGCCGTGACTGTCTGCGCCCCGAGCGCACCCCGAGATCGAGGCGCGTAGGTATAGCTCGCGTTTCGTCCGTTTGTATGAAGTTGGGGTACTGTATTATAATTGTACCGTGATAGAACTCTGGGGATCTAGATTCGACAAACTGAGGTAAAGCATTTGTATAGCCTCTTGGGAGGTTTTTTTTATCACGTAGTAAATTGTCCAAATCACGAAAAAATTGAAGTCAAGTTGGATCAAGGTCTGGCGAGTACGGAGGATGACGTGGTTTCTAGCTGCAGCTCCTGTAGAGTTACAACGGTTTCTCGTGCAGTGTGAGGTCTTGTGTTATCATGGAGTAATAATGATGGAGAACGATTCACGAGTCGGGGCTGTTTCACTGCCAGTTTCGCCATCACTGTTCGAAGTTTGGCACAGTAAACATCTGCTGTTATTGCCTGACCAGACCTGAGAAAGCTATAGTGAATAACACCATGAAGAGACCACCAAACAGTTATCATTACCTTTTTATTGGTAAACTTTGCTTTAGGGCACTGTTCCGGCGTTTGACCTGGGGTCAGCCATTGCGTTTTTCGCTTACGGTTATCGTAAACAATTCACATTTCACAATTCGATCCCATATTCCTTCATTTCTGTACCGATTCAACAAGGCAACACAAGTTTTAACATGCATTTCTTTCTGCAGATCAGTCCAATCATGAGGCACCCATTTTTCTTATTGATTTGATGCAAATGAGTCAAGGTAACTTTAAACCATGCCGCTAATTCCTGGCTAGTTGAACTCAGGTCGACTTCCACCATCTCCTTCAATTCAGCGTTATTCACCTGTGTGGGTGGTCTTCCACATGGTTCGTTCTTCAAGTCGAAGTTTCCATTACGAAAGCATTTAAACTAAAATCGCACGGTGCATTCATTAGCAGTCTAAGCTGAATAAAAAAAACAATGAAAAGTCAAAAATCGAATGTTGCGCATTTTTTAAAAGAAGAACCTGTTATTTATCATATGTGTCATGCAGTGCTGTCTAAAAGAACTTCCGAACCTAATCAAGGCTTTCCGTTACATGATCTTGTCTCGATAATCTTTCGCCTTCCATACAAATTAATTGTATTAATGATACTGTTACTGAACGTAGTTATTAGATCTATGACGAGCATTTTAATTTCGTGATGTACACGTTACTTTGTTTTATTGGACAACCATTCAGAAGTCTTAAACTTTACGAGTAAAAAAAAAAATTAATCATTTAGATTACCGAGTTGATTTTCTTTTTAGCAGACTTTAATACAAAGAGAAGGTGCTCCATTCGATAGTATTTCTTTTATATTCGTTATTTCAGAATTTTATCATATATGAATCAATTTGGTAAATTCTTTTCTTTTTCAAAGAATTCAAAGAAGAAAAAGTACCAGTCTTGGAATGAAGAATACAGTGTATTACAATTTATCATTGTAGGCGCCTTACAGTCGATAATACTCGTATAATTCTAAAAGTTAAATAATACATGATAAATAAAAAGATATTTTTTTCTTTTCAGCATGTCATCTAATTGTCTATGTATTCGCAGCCGTATTTGGCGTAATGAATTACGTTTTCATACAAAAGACAATGGACCTGGTTGACTACAATTGTGTTTTATTTCCGAGAAAACTCGAATTTCATTATATCAAGTTACCGGACGCTCAAGATATAGAAGACTTTAATGAAAATCATTATTTTAGAAATGAAACCGAGGATGCTCAATCTGAAGTTTTTACTACCACTGTTAGTGCTGAGCAGGGTAAAGTAAAAAGACAAACTGTTGATAATGAAACACTCGATGTCAATGAGGTTTCAGCAATGGTGGAAAACGTCACCGAGGTAACGGGTGAGTACCTCCAGATAACTACCTGCAATTTATTAACCATAGCGCAAAGCAGTTAACGTGAACATTTAAAGATTTTTTACGGTGCAATTAGTAGAGTAACATTAAAAATTTATTGTTAACAGAAAAGTATAGAAGAACGGAAATTGCCTTTTGCGAACATAAATTGGCAAGCGTGCATATAAAAGAATTTAGTAATGAGAGTCACATTTATTGTATTGTATTTCATATCATATCATTGTATTTCAGAAAATGTAACTCGCCGCTTAGCCCTAGACACGTCCAGAACTCTCTTCGCCACAGATACCGACTGTATGTTTGCCGAGTATATGCCGCTTTTGTCGACTGTGTTTTCTGCAGTCTGGTTGACGATGTTCACCATGTGTCCGAGCGGTGGACGCTCTAGATCCGGGTAAGTAAAATTAAATGACTTGATTATTTTTAATGCTAATCGGTCAAATTTCAACCGTTGTAAATGCCATGTTTTATTTCGTATCGGAAATAAAACCTGTAACCGAGTATTGCCTATAGCCTTGATGTTTCATTAAAGTGATAAAAATGCATGCATGCATGCATGTCTTAGGGTGATAATTCGTGCTACGCTTCATGAAATGTACAAACTTATCCTTCGCGCGGTCCTAGACAGTGCAAGAAAAAATAATAAAATATAACCGGAGGATATAATGGATGTATGGATGTATGTGGAGTCCCGACTTATCCAACTTTGTAGCTTCATTACCTCAATCACACAAAGTAACCTATCACAGATCCCCAGATTGTCTGAACGATAATTATAACCAAAGTCATGAGTGTCACGAACTCGTTGCGTAACTACTGGTACATTTTTTACCCCTTTTTAAGTACTTATGCAATTATTCCACAATTGACTATGTTCTGTAAAGAAGCCTTCTTTGTGAAGATAGCGACGAACCCAAAGTGAGGAATGGGGTGGATCAGGTCAATTACCTCTTGGTCTCATCTCTTTCTTTGAACCTAGAAATAGCACTTCATCACATTCGGAATATCACGTAGTCACAATAGACATCAGATTTTAGAAGCAATCGTTAACTAAACGGGTATAATTGTTTTCTGGCGCACCACTTGGCGCAATGCCAATGAGGTTACAGAATACAAATCGCAACTTGTTAACATGTTGTGAAAATTAGTGCATGACATAAAAATGGCGACAGCATGTGGGTCAAACTCAAACTCTCTTTATTTCATAAAATTTTCAAAATTGTTTGAAATCTTCTTTTATGTAGACTCTAAAGTCATAGATCAACACACACAAAAGCAACAATCTCTGTTTTGTCAAATAGTAATCAAATAAATTTAACAAAAGTCAAACCCATACAAAAATCTATGATATGCCTGTGCCGATCTACAACCGTCCGTTTCCAAGGGGTTGAGCCTTATGAGAAGAAAGGGCAAACAAACTCATGGCCACTCTTTTGCCATTCACAGGTAGATAAAATGGCACTATTAAATATACCACAACAATGTTTTGATGTGTGCTAATATGTCCGTTATTGAGGTCTAAAAGGTAAAAAGACAATAAGGAGAAAACGAGATTTAAAAAACGAATACAAGAGAAAATGAAGTGAAACATAAAAAATAGAAAAAATAATAAAAATAAACAACACACTAGCCACACCACATTTTTACTTAAGAAAGACATAGCCTGCGCTAATTAATCCGAAGCATTCTTGTCCTCCATGTAATCCACAATCAAGTAGTAGGCCCTCTGGCACAAACCACGTTTTATTGCGGATTTAAATTTGTTAATACTTAACTCTTGAATATTATTTGGGATTTTATTATAAAATCGGACACATTGACCTCGAAAAGACTTGTTTATCTTTTGGAGCCTAGAGGCGGGTACTACAAGTTTATGTTTATTTCTGGTATTTATGGCATGTACATCACTGTTTTTCAAAAAGCTATCTTTCTTTTTATGAACATATGTATATTACATTTTTATAAATATATTGACTTGCCACTGTCATTATATATATTTCTTTAAATTTCTGCCTCAATGAACAACGATTGCCTAAATTAAAAAGTGCTCGAATCGCTCTCTTTTGCAGCACAAAAATAGTTTGAATAGTTTGGTTATTATGGCCAACAGTTTGTACAATGATATTTCAGTGCCTAATTTCATGCGCAAAAACCTGCAGATATTTTTTAAACCTAAATAATTCTACTTAATAAAATATAAATAAAAATATAGATGTAGCAGTCCCATCTCTGACGATCACTAATTAGTGACTATATTTGGACGAAGGGGACAACTTTTATCAGTCAATTATAATCAGAAAGTCAATTCTCGTAATAAAAATTCGTTCAAAATTCGTTCCAATCTACTTTCGATCTCACAGATGTCATAAAAGGTTTTCGCAGTAAAGTTGACTGTACGGATGGCGTAGTGGTTCAAGCGGTCACCTCGCTACTTCCTACTGCGTTGAGTGTTGTAGGTTCAATCCCCACATGGGATAACACTTTGTGTGATCTAGAAATTGTTGTTCTACATAGGTCTTGGAGTTTGTTTGTGTCCGTTTCATCTATGTTTGTAAAGTCCCCCCGCGACACAGGATCCCTTCGAATTGACCTTCAGTTCGGTTTATTTTTTTATTATGTTTGAATTACCTACCTAGGAACGGATCCCGAAACGGAGAACATCTGGCTAGAGGTTTTTAATATCACCGTCATAACTATTCTTCGTTCTCATCCGACAGCAGTTTGATTAAAAAAGTGGGATATGGCAGTATCACAGGGTCGTGTTAATTCCTGATTAAAGCTGTAAATGTGGATCACTTCTTCCTTGATGGAGCATTAGCGAAAGCAGTAATGTTTCTCTCTAAAGAAAAGAAGTATTGTTGCTTTGTGCGATCTAGAGACCGGCTTGTGATGAAACGCATCATAGTATGGTTGTGTTAACTCATTAAACTTTATATATATATTTTTTTTATTTCATTGAACTGTTTCTAATATAAATCAAGACATTTATTTTCAGCATTCGCTAAACTATCGTTGTATTGGCTTTCCATGTTATGATATGTCAACAATATTCCTTATGGATATATCAAGTTACAAGTAGCAGTCTTCACACAATTGTGAAATTTATTAAAATTTCATTACACATTTTTCTTCTCCACAATACTTCTAAAATTCCATATTTCTTTGTGCGCGTACACTATTAATCTATTCTTAGATAAGAGGGTATGTTATAAATAGTATGATTCTATTAAATAACGCCTATTAATTATTTCTCAGGTTGACTGAGCCCTGGCGTATATTAGCACCTGCCTTACTGTTCGCGCTGGTGATGGTGGGCCTTACTGGTCACAGCTTCACTCTAACCAATGGAGGGATTCATGCGTTCTGTGGAGACTTTTCTAACTATACAAATTCAACCACGTAAGTAATTGCATTATTTAAAATGATCCGATAAACCTTTTAATATTTTTTCTTTCGTCAATGAAAATGTGATGCCTATGATTGTGATACCTATGATACAGGTGGTTTAATGTCTTTAGGTAAGTAGATAGAAGTTTATTAGTTATATATAAGATAGAATATATTATATACTTTGTATTAAATGAATCAGAAAACTTACTAAAAAAATAGTGACTGGCCCTACTAAGTATTTTCAACACTTACCACTAATCATTGAATATTGGAATAGGGGAGAAGGAGGCACTTTAGTACAGGAGCATATTCGAATTTGTTATTTCCTGAGCGCAGCTTTGTATTTGTCTATGTCATAACTCTGTTTTCATGTTGGCCACACTAATTATAAGGAACGTCAAGTATCAAAGAGCGCGTATTTATTTGCCAAGCCAAGTTATAATGTCACATTGTTTTAGTGCCGTTGAAATTTGAAAGCGAAATAAATGTTGTAAGGATTTATCATTCATGTGATTAAACGTTTACTATAAAGTTATTTGTCATTATTTTTCTTTCGAGTGACTATGGGGCAGATTTGATCAAAACAAAAGGGGCACATATGAACATAGTGTTCAAATGTGCCCCGCCCATCAATGCCCCGCCCCCGTTTTAATGTGTATCTTTAAATGTATCCCTCTTCATGTATTCTAAATGTAAAAGTAATTGTAATAAAATGTATCACTTATTATAATTCGTTATTTGTAGGATGGTTAGAACATATTTAAAAAAACGTTTCGTTTCGTGAATTCAAAAGTTTTGTAAGTTAATTTTTTGGTTGATTTTGTATTTGTGACAATACAAATAAATATGTTGTTAACAAACTAATGCTGTATCCTCGTTAATGCAGGAAGCATTAAATCTTTTTTTTTAACTGCCCCATGTGGATTCAAATGTGACCCAATATTGGGGCAGATTAGAACAACTTTTTTAAATTTCATCACATAGGTTTTATCAAATTGAAATGTTTCGTTATTTCTGAACTTATCAAAGATTAAAGAAGCTAAGAAAATTATTTTGTTATGAGTTAAAATATGAAAGATGAGCTAAGGTGCTTGTAACTTCTCCCCTATGACTAAATATGATGAGATGGATATCATCATTTCCATATTTGTTTTAATATTTCTGTCGAGCCTGTAGGTCTAGTGGTTAGTGGAGGTCGCGTGGCCTACCGACTGACACAGGTGCTCACTGGGCATGGCTGCTTCGGTGAGTGTCTGAATCGGATTGGACACGAGGAGACGGCACAAAACCCACACTGCGCGGCCGACTGGGACTCTGTCGAGCACACGCTGGAAGACTGCCCCGCGTGGGCCTCTGAACGCGAAGGAGTGGTCGACCAAATCGGACGAGCGCTGGACGAATGCTGGCGGGTGAGGAGGGCTGGGACGCAGTGGTCTCGTTTTATGAATCTGTAATGCTCCAGAAAGAGACCTCTGAATGGGATCGGGAGAGGGCCGATCCTGAGCAAAGAGACGTCGGTGACGTAATGAGCAGCCGACGGGACCGCGGGCCGACAGGAAGAGCGGACCTCTGGTGGTAGATTAATTGCTGCGGTAGGGGATAGAATGGCAGCCTGATCGCACTAAAAATATGATCGGATCTGGATAGGCTGATAAGCAGGGAGAAGGCACTGGCTTTCTCTGAGATAGGGCCTAGTTACGTACGATATCGATCTGGGGGGACCTGAAATCACATGGCCCTGGTTCTCCCCAGAGCAGGGCGCCGTAGGCTGGCCGTAGGGGTTTTTAGTTGCAAACACCACATACTCCTGGCTCCTATATCCAGAAGGAGCTGGAGAACCGAAGGGATTTTCCACCCTGTCAACAAAAAAAGGTCTAGTGGTTAGTGATACTGATTGCTAAGCCAGAGGTCTTGTGTTCGATTTCCACCCAAGAAAATTAAGTATTTGATGAGTACGATCATTTGTTCTGTGTCTGGGTATTATCTATAATATTTATGTATTTAGAAATATAAGTATGTTTAACAGCAATCCGGTTACCATACATAGCACGGACTGCCTACTTTGGGATCAGATGGCCGTGTGTGAGAAGTGTGCTAATATTTGTAAAATTATTATTATTTTTATTTGACTGAAATAGGAGGCATCCGAAAATAGTTGTTAAGAGATCCGGTTGAATTTTGGTACCTACCTAACAGAAACTTGCCGTAGCATTCTCTGTGCACATATTGCAATTTTAATAATTTATTTATGAGTGATGTGATGAAAATATTATAACATTTGATCACAATTGTTTCAGTTGCTCCGCAGTGGACCAATTCATCGAGCTGGGCTGGAACGCGACATGGGGCATGAGCGGTCGTCTGGGCGCGAGCCGCGGCGCCAGCGCCGGCGTGTGGGCCACCTGGGCCTGCGCCGCCGCGCTGCTGCTGACGCGTTGCCTCGCCGCGCCTGACTTTGTTGTCAAACGGACCAGCGTCTATCTTAGTCAAGATCCTCAGAAGGTGCGTTTAAATAAAACAGTTTCAGTTAAACCTTTGATAAAATATATCATCACAGTAACTATTGACTGCACGGATGGCGTAGTGGTTTAAGCGGTCGCCACGCCGCTTACTACTACGTTGAGTGTTGAGGGTCCGATCCCCACATGGGCGACACTTTGTGTGATCCACAAATTGTTGTTCGGAGTCAAAAAATTGTATTGAATATGTATCTAATCTAATGTATACATTTTACCAAAAAATCTTCAAATATGTTTACAACACACAAGCTCTTTTCAGTTTGGATCGTTTTATGTGTTATATTATTATATCTTATGTATAACTTCATAAACGGACAATCTCGAAGACGGATTTCAAAATAGAAAATACTAAAAATTTGCTCTGTTACAGAAAATTACCCCTTACTTGAAAATTCAGAAAAACACTCGATCAAACACCAGCTCACCAAACAAAGGTGACAACGTTTCGATTAAATCCGAGCCAACTATCACCACGGAGTTAGTGACGGCTTCAATAGAACAGGGAGACTCCGTGCCCACGTCGCTGATGGTCACACCAGTAAAAATGTCTACGCCACGACACAGGGAGAATATCGAAATGACGTATACACCACAAGAAAGGAACTAAAGCAACCGATAGATTTCCAATTTTCTCAATTCACTTACTTCTATTCAGTTTGAGGTTTAGCAAATGTTAAATTGGGTATTTACGCCTGTCTCTGTGTAATTTGCCAAACGAGCTTTATATGATATTGGATATTACTGAATATGCTTGTTGCCAAGTAATATTTCGTTTTAGCAAGCATTTTAGACGTTGTCTTGTATTGTTATTTTGTGACATTTTTATTATTAAATTAGTAACTGATAAATTCTTGTAGTATCATTTAATTGCCCATAATAAAGCAACACAATCATAAATGTGTATGTTATGAAAGACATTATACTAATGCCTATAATACTTTCAGTGTATTACAATGTACTCTGTGTATAATACTCTCCATTAATATGATATGATTCTGTCCTCGTCAGTACTGACAGATAAACAAATAAGTATAATACTTATAAAGAAAAAGAATGAGTTCATATTTAATTGTCTTTTATACAGAGAAATTGAATATGAGTTTTAGCACAAATGGGCCGATTAGACTGGAGTGATACCACGGCCTCGCAAAAAACTGGTATTACTTTTTATGTTATTTAAAATATGAGTACTATGACCCATTTCTCTTGTTTTATGCTACCATAATGCCACTATGTGTTATCGACTGGTTACGCTAAATATATCGTGAACTTTTCTAATGCCAAAAAACCTTTTAAAGCATTTTCAAAATAAATTCAGGCTGAGTTACATAGTAGTTTTAGCACCCCATACAACAAGGTCACACCCGCCCGACAACACGCTAGACTCACTGCCGCGCAATAAAATTATAAACAAATATTTTTAACAAAAACCGACTTAAAAAAACACTATTCCAAAACAAATTAATATGCACTAAAAAGTAAAAAAATAAATGCATATTCTTCTACAACTTAATAATCAACTTACTTTTTCTACTCATCTATTACATATAGATGAGTAGAAAAAGTACGATATTTGTGTTTACCACGCAAGAAGGTGGGTAGGTACCTACCCATTTCAAATCTAATTTAACATATACCTGTGAATAACAAACAACGATCAAAATATTTGAGTTCCCCTAAGTAAAATGAAATGAATATAACGTAGTTAAAATTATTGTTATTTTTGGAGTCGGTGTCAGCCAAGTCGGTGTCACCTACACCTTATAAGTGAGAAGTGCTTGTGTCGCACGCGCGAGTTGACGAGTCTTAAAGTATTCTCGTATTATTATTGCTGGGTATATCGTAGTGTTTCCTTGGCTGACAAGACTACGTAGAGTCGATTTTACGGCGATTCGTTTCTGTCACAAACTTTTGTAGCAAGACATGACTTTTTAAGATAATATTTTAATTTAAGGTAAAAAATGCTATTTTATGGCAATATTTTAAATGAGATAAATAAATTATTCCAAGTAAAATTCTGCCATCTTTATAGTATGCCAAGTGAAAATGTACCAAATAATCGTCGCTCTAAATAAACATTATAGCTAGACGAAATTATGTGGAATTTTACCTCTGCCAAAGGTGATTATGCTAAATAATTTAAATGTCCGTAATTTAAATGTGTAAATAATTTACAATGGCATAATTTTATAATTATGCCATTGTAAATTCGGACATTTAAACATTCGGCTGAGCATTATTTATACCTACTATATATAGGTATAATAAAATTATGCCATCTTAAAAGTATGCCATTGTAAATTCGGACATAAAAACATTCGGCCAAACATTATTTTTACTCAATATTTATATGCCTTAAACATATTCGTTTAAAGAAGTTTGTGCCAAGTGTGTTATGCGAAATAAATTTCGGAGCATCAAGATTCTGCCAGATAGAGGGAACCCCCTGACGTCATATTTCTTTTTAATTTGTTTTTAGGAAATCAATAGGAAGTACCTACCTACATTACCTATTTCACGAAAATGTGGGTATACCTACCTATACTTATTTATTTATAATATTATATTACTAGCGATCCGCTCCGGCTTCATCAACAGCTCTTAACAGTCCACTGCTGGACGCCTCTCCTTACAATGGAGGTTATGGCACGGGTGCAATGTAGATACTACTGATCTGGTGTCAGTATGGAGTAATCCTGCAGATCCTGCCGGCCGCTGCCAACCGGGACGTACGGCTTGACAGTCGTTGGGTCCCCGCATTTTAAACCTCTAAAATCTTCTAAAATATTCATTTTAATGGTATGCTGTTGAGAGGAATTTTAAATGCACGACGTATCTAACGTATTTAATTGGATTAGGAATAATAATGTATTCTTTAGACTTGCAACGAATAGTATATTCGGCAGTATACCGAATACCGAATATTCGGCGAGGCCCCTGACCGAATAGCCGAATATTAGGCAAAAGTATTCGGCTGGATTTTAGCGCCAAAAACTTGTACAGACGTGAATTAAATTATGTACCTGTTTTATGTACCAATGACTACTTAATAAATGATTATAAAAGAAATGAGAACCTTACCCTTCTAAATTTTGATTACCACAATAATTCAAATACATAGAAACCTCCATTTTTCGAATTCAGAAGATGATTATGTACCTGTGTTATGTACCAATGACTACTTAATAAATGATTATAAAAGAAATGAGAACCTTACCCTTCTAAATTTTGATTACCACAATAATTCAAATACATAGAAACCTCCATTTTTCCAATTCAGAAGATGATTATGTACCTGTGTTATGCACCAATGACTACTTAAATGATAATAACAGAAATGAAAATATGAATATATACGTAATCAATCGATTTTAATTTTTCATTTTACCAATTATTTAATTGTTTCTCAATGACAAAACATATTATTTAAGTATTCGGTATTCGGCCGAATAATATGTAGATATTCGGTATTCGGCCGAATATAATAAAAGCAGCCGAATAGGCCGAATACCGAATAGTAACCGAATATTCGTTGCAAGTCTAGTATTCTTTAAAATAGCTTCGTAAATCACCCATTATTTTTTTGTAATATTTAAAAGATTTTAAAATGGTTACTGTGGGTTATCTTTAGCAGATAGACATACCTATAATATCGCGGGCTTTCTTGTAGATCTTTTTAAGATATAAAATTCCGTAGTACGATATTTTGGTCTATATCGAAAGTTTTAGCCAGCGTTTGCAATGTAAGCGTACAAAAACTTACTTTATACTATATAAATATGTTACACACTCTAGATTAGAAGACATTAACACAATGCCGTCCGTTTTACATGCGCATGAAAGAGACAACGTTATGTCTTCAAGGCCGTCACGCCGGTGCCGCATGACGCGTTGGATCTCTTGATTTGAGCTCAGGCGGTGTGGCAGGTGGCGCCGTCCTGCTGAAACCACTTGTTGTCCTGATCCATGCCGTCCAGTTCAGGCCGCAAGAACTCCGTTATCATATTCCTGTAACGAATGCCGTTCACAGTCACTGCAATTTCGGCCTCATCTTCAAAAAAGCAAGGTCCACGCTGCCTGACCAAAATCCGCACCAGACAAATGCTCGTTGTGGGTGCAATTGTTTCTCATGGATTGCATGCGATTTTCCTGAACCCCATATTCGACAATTTCGTGTATTCACGTAGCCATTCAGACGGAAATGCGCTTCATCGGAGAAGGCGACTTTTTTCGAAAAATTGGCATTTACTTCACTTTGCTCCGTTACCCATTGAACGAATTTCCATGATCTGCTGGTTTGAGCTCCTGAGCTCCTCCTGATATCCGTATCCGTATCCGTATCCGCGGATATCCAAGGGAGAAGAGAGATCCGTATCCGTGACTTTTTTGGCGGATCTTTCAATACATAGATGAAATTCTATATAGGTGATTTTGTATTCACTGTAAAACTCTTAGGTATGTGTTTGTAACACATTTTTCTGGCCAACTTCAAAATGAAAAAAAATTGGTCCTCCATTCAAATGACCAATCAAATGTTGTTAGTTTGTATGGAGAAACAATTTTTTTTCATTCGTTTTCGGTGTTAGTCCAGAAGAAAAGTTGTTGTTTATAATTTTTTTTTTTTTTTTTTTTTTTTCTTTATTTACCAAAAGGTGAGGATTTGATCACGAAGTGATCATGTCACCCCCATAGGAAACTACTAATACAATTCTACTACTACTAATACATAGGAAACTACTAATACAATAGGAAACTACTAATCAACTACATCTATCCTTAAAACCTAAATTAACAATTTTGTACAACAGTTTCGCTTGGTCTGACACGGGCATAGTCAAGATGGTGTTACAAACTCCAACAGAACGCAGAGATATGCCGTGTTTCATTTGAAACCGATCTCTTTCAGCCTTATTTCTTTGGCATTCTACCATTATGTGATAAACATCTTCCCTAACATTGCAAATAGTACAGTTAGGTGAAGAACTTTTTTTCATCATATATGTGAAGCTATTTAGAGGCATATGCCCAGAACGAAGTCTAAGGGCAGTGACAACTTCCTGTCCCGACAGATCGGAGTCCGCAAACCAAAGAACGTGCGAGGGGCATGGTTGTATTGTCTTATACCAAATACCAACAGTACGAGACCTTTCATCAAAGTACTCTTTCCACATGTTAATGCAGCGTTCTCTGATCAACGGCAACAAGTCAGTAAAATAAGGTTCTCGAGGAACTGATATACCCATAAATGTTGACTGCTTTGCTAAGGAATCTACTATAGAATTACCTCCTAAACCAATATGTGAGGGAACCCATTGAAGGACAATGTGTTTATCTTCATTTAGCATCTTTTTAATTAATTTTATTATGTCATAAGCTATTGGGACTCCTCGAAAGCCTGATACCGTACATCGCAACAAATGCTGTAGTGAGCTTCTCGAGTCTGTAAATATGACGTAATTTCCAGTTTTAAACGAATCAATATACGAAAGAGCCTCTACGATTGCTATCAATTCTAAATTCATCACGCATATATTTTGTGTTTTAATTTTTAACCTAACGAAACTGTTACTTTGCGGATCAAAAAAAGCTGCACCGAAAAACCCGCTA